GGTTGCGATCCGTTGCCGGTCACGAAAAAAAAAAAAAATGAGAAGAGAGTAGTTAGAACGCAAGAAACCAGGTCACTGGGGACATTGGGAATGAGAATTCTCATTTGTAGCTTTTCAATGTGGAGCTCTGCCTGGCTACTTTAGGGACCAGACCATGAATCCAGACCCCACTGTCACTAAATGCGGGCTGAGGCTCCACAACTGAAGGGACAGAGCCAGTTTCTGAAAACTGGCAATCTTTGTCTCCTCACTCACCAGGAAGGGAGATGTGGGCGAGTGGCTGGTGAGCTGGCATTGTGACCCCTGTCCCAGACTTCACACAGGGTGGCCTCGAGAGTTGAGACCTGGCTTTGCCTCACTCAGCTGGGAAGGGCACTAAGATGGCCACTCACCAGGAAGGGAGATGTGGGCGAGTGGCTGGTGAGCTGGCATTGTGACCCCTGTCCCAGACTTCACACACGGTGGCCTCGAGAGTTGAGACCTGGCTTTGCCTCACTCAGCTGGGAAGGGCACTAAGATGGCAGGAGAGGACTTTGTAAAAACACAGTGTTGTGGGGCCAACACTTAGCTCCCCAGTGCGGTGAGGAGTTAGGGAAGATATCAGTGACCCAGGAACACTGGAAACTTCCTAAGCTCCAGGGATCAGCTGACTGACCTCTCCCAGAAAACTGAAAAACTGCTTTGATTGGCCCCGCACTATTTTTATCTACTGCTTTAGAGGCAGAAGGGCAGCTCTATTGTTTGACCCGCCAGTTCCTGTGCATGGTGGACCCCTGCAGTGTGAGGCCAGTGAGGGGGAGGGGTCCACAGTGAGAACATGCAGCTGCATCCCCACGGGGCATGTGTCCTCCAGGGTCTCCTCCGGAGCCTCGCCCCGCCTCCTAGCACCTCTCTGCTTCATCTGGAGTCAGCTATGAAAATCCTTACCCACATCCCTCATTGTCTGTCCCCACTGCCTGCTGCCTGCTGTCCAGGCTGGCACATCAGAAACAATAGCCCCTCCAAGGAAGGGGTGAATGAAAGATTTCACAATTTATCAAGACCTGAGTACAGTACAGTCCACCTGCTCTCTCCTCCGTTTCCACAGCATTCCCCCGTGCCTCTGAGAATGTGAGATGTCCCTGTCACGCCTTCACGGTTAAGTGAATATGTAGGAAGGACATCTGGTGAATCCCTTCATTTCATAGATGGGGGAAACTGAGACCTGGAGAGGAAGCAGAGCAGCGACTTGACCCCAATCTTGCTGGGATCAGGCTCCCAGAGGGAGTGGGGTGAGGAGTGAAGGGATCTGGGGTGAAGGCAGGCCCTGAGGCAGGGGTCTGAGTGAAGACTGTGAGGTGGCAGTGGGGTCTCTGCAATGAAGACGTGCCTGTGGGGAGGGACAAGGTGGGAGGTGTGTAGCATGTTGACCTAGGGCAGCGCCTACACTGCTGGGCTCTCCAGAATGGACAAGCCCTGAGAGGCTGTGGGGGACATGGGAAGAGGAACTGCAGCTAACAGGGCCCGGGCCAAAGCACAAGGACTTGTGGGTGTTGTCCAGCACCAGGCGGCCCCAGGGAAGTCTTCCCAGAAGGGCTAGGTCTGGACAGCTGTGTGGGTGATAGCACGGAGATGGGGAACATGCATTCTATGCATAAGGAACAGCACCTGCAAAGTGAGGCATGAGAACAGAGGAGGTCATGCTGTAGGCCAGGGGTCTTCATCAGCACATGTACCACCAAAGCAGTGATGGGAGAGCAGGTGGCATTCCGGGCCCCACCCCCACTAGTTTTAAACCTCTAGGTGTTATTTGGGAATGAGTTTCTGCTACCACTTCAAAGGCTGACCCTGCAGGTCCTGGGGCAGTTACTGGGGTTTGAAGAAGGGATTGGGACCCCATGCTTTGGAAGAAGTGGGCCTGGCCATGGGGTGACAGGGATGGTGGGCAGGGTGTGGCTTGAAGGTGGGATGTAGCAGCTGCCCTCCCTGGCTTATAAGCAGGTTATTAGCTCCAGGGGACTTGGGAAATGGTGAGCAGGACCAAGAATATAGGCTTGGACCCACAAATGCCTCCTTTCCCTTGGATTGCAAGGAACCACTACCTTATGGGATGACCCAGCCAGTCCCAGAGCCTCAGACACTTGCCTGTTTGTGGGAGCAGCTCACCTGGCTCCTGTGAGCACCTCCAGCCTTCTCACCCCCACACAGCAGGTGCCCTGCCTGTCTCCTCAGAGACTCCAACTTTAACTGGGGAGACACCCCCACTTTACTCATGTGAGACCACGAGGCAAGAGCCAGAGCTGGGGCAAGTGGGCCAAGTGTGTGGCCATGCTCCAGAGGCAGCAGCCTGGCAGGGTACCCAGAGGACCTGGAGTCAGTGTCCTCATCTGTGAAATGAGGGAGTTGGACTAGACGCTCGCAGAACCGGGTGCCCCTGCTCTCCCTGACCGTATAGTGCGAGCTCTGAGAGCAAGTGCCAGGAACCAGCGCAGGGCTGGGTGGAGCTGAAGCAGAGGAACGAGGCTCTGTGGAGGGGACTGGCGGGCTTGGGCAAAGCTGTCTCAAGCCTTGAGAGACTGGGGCTGGGGGCTCATGGGAACTAAGGGGATGTGACAAAGGCCAAGGCCAAGGAGGGAGGGAGCCTGTTAAAACAGCAGGCGCTCAGTTCCAAGAGGGAGGCCCCAGCCGGAAAGCAGGTTGAGATGAGTGGGACATCTGGCGGCAACAGGGGCCATGCCACACACACCTCCCCAGCACAGAGGCAAACGTGGGTCCCACGGCCCTTTTGCTGAGAACAGAATGAACCTGAGGTGAGCTGGGGCGTGGCCAGCTGTCCTCTTGGGTCTTCCTTTAGAAACCTTTACGGAAAAGGAGCTTCTCCCCTAAAGCAGCATGGGTCACACCCTTCCAGACTCTCTTGAGCTTTGATTTTTCTTCCTTTTTCTAAATTCTGCCCATCTACACTGCTCTTCTGGAAGGAAATCCTTGCTGGCCAGACCAGGCAGGGGCAGGTGAATTGACTGAGGGCTGAGGGGGACACACCCCGCCCCCAGGCCCTGGACCCCTGAGATCAAGAGCAGAGCAGTCTTCCGTATCTCGGCTAGCAAGCTGGCAAGGTGGGCGGCCCAGAGATAGACTCTGCCAAGAGAGCTTTGACAGAAGAGGAGAGGAGAGGGAGGAATGGTGTGGGTACATGTAGAAACGGTTCAGTGGCCCTGGGGTCTGAGTTGCTCTGAAGTTGCCCACGACAACTGTTCTCTACTTCAGGTCTGAGCTGGGGACCTAAAGCTTCCCGTCCTGCCTGGGGGTGTTCACACTGATGTCACATTGAAGCCCCACAAGTGACCTGCAAGGACAACGGACACAACATGGGCTGGGCCACTGGCAGTTGCCCAGGCCCCAGGTGGCTCACACAGGTTCTTGGCACACACACGGAGCAGGCCCGTCACTGCCTTGTGCCTCAAAGGCACGCCTGCTCCACACACCCAATGTCAAAACAGAAGTAACGGGCTCCAAAGGCTCTGCCCAGACAGCACCCCCTTTTGCTAGAGTCCCCAATTCACTTAAATCTGCAGAATTTTAAAAATGACATTCCATCTAGGATGTTCCTGCCTAGATAGAGACTGTGAAAGAACAAGGGTCTAAACTGACCCAGGGCCAGCAGGAGTCCACTGAGGTCGATGCCTCTTTCCCTGAGCCACTAGGAATGGCGTGCATGTGGTCATAGGATCCTCCTCTCTGTGCAAGCTGCTGTAATAGACTTGACTTCTCCCAAAGGGAAATGGTGCAGGAAGGGTAGAGCCAGCCTTTCACCCTGGCCAAGACCCAAGTGTTGGCCCAGGTGACTAACACCAGCTCCAGGCACATGATGAATTCCCAGTGCTATTGGCTGGGCCTCGCTGGCCTGGAGGCTCACACACTGTGGGGTGGTGAGGAATTCAGCCCAAAGGTGGCCCAAAAGCAACTGGCCTGGGCAAGCAACACTTCCTGGCCTGAGGAGCAGCAAGACAGCCAAGGCCAGCCACTGTGGTTCAGGTGCAGGCCTGAACTTGCCCACTGTCCTACTACCACCCCACCGCCAAGGGAGCCCCTGAACTTGGTGGGAAGGATGCAGGGCCAGGAGTCCCCAGTCCCACTGGACCTTGATTCTGATTTTGTTCTTTATTGTGCCCTCAGGGCCAGGACCTTCACTGTCCTAGCAGGGTAAACTTGTCACCTGAAGGCCTTTTAGAGCTGCTGTACCGCAAAACATGATTGGTAGCAATGGAAACCCCAGGCCTGGTGTTTTCTCAGCGAACTGTTGTGGTGGGGCTTGGGTACCTCAAGGGAGCAGAGTTCAAGCACAGAGTTGGGGCATGGGCAGGGCAGAATAACCAAGAACACTGCACTGTGCATCTCCCCACCAACACACCAGCAAATTGTCCCAAATTTCTGGAACAAAGCAATTTTCCAGGTCAAGAAACTGAGGCACCGGCTTAGCAGTGACTCCAGGTGGACCTTTCTCTCCTCAGGCTACCCTTATCCATCTGGAAGGTGGAGAGGAGAGAAAGGTCCAGGCCCAGCTGACTTCAACATATCAGATTTTGATCCCAAGTCCCCCTCCTCCTCCTTCCATGCCAGCGCCACCTCATGGAACCCTCCGTGGTGGCCCTTCGGGTGGGGACAGATTCAACTCTGGGTCCCTGTCCAGAGTTGTGAACATGCCCAGGGAGGGCCAAGTCACGAACTTCAAGTGGGCGGCTCAAATTCAAATTCGAGTTTGACTCTTGGGTCTATGGCCCCAGGCAGGATGCCAACCTCTCCCCACCCCAACACACCTCCGAGAAATGAAAAAGGCTAGGGCTTCTGCCGGGGGTGCAGGAGGGAAAGACCGGACAAAACGGCTCCCGAATAGCAGGTTCCGAGTGGGGCCAACCTGGCCCTGGGCTCGCTACCACCACCCTCCCGGCCTCGGCTCCAAGTCAACAATCTCCGGGCCCTGTACCGATTCCTATGTAAGCCAAAGAAGCCCAAGGCAGCCGTAGTCTCTAACCATTTATTTTTCCCTCCCGGGAGGTGGGGTCGCTGGAGGTGAGGCGGACAGCGGGGCCCAGGGCTGGACCCAGGTAGGCGGTACCCAAGTAGGCGGATCCGGGCCGGCGCAGCCCTCAGGCGAAAGTGGAGCCGTTCCAGCCCACGTTGGCCGCGTTCATGTCGTAGTAGTTGATGTAGATCCTGCGGGGGGGGGGGGGGGGGGG